TGAAGAGGACATAAGCCTCTGGGCTCAGTGGAATCAGCCGGAAAGCAGTTTGTGTGGAAAATTGTGGCTGAATAGTGCTCTGCACTGGTACCCTCTGATGTAAAGAGGAGAGTGAACAGAGAGTGCACAGTATAAAACTTCAGTGGTCACAAACACCAGAGACACTGCTCCAAAGGAAGTGATAAAGGTGGCTAAGGAAGGGCTAAGGGTCTGGAGGAGTCTGGAGAGTTGGGGTAGTCGCACCAGTAAGACTCAAGGGACCAGGCAAATAAAGCCCAAAGGTTAACCCCAAAACAGTTACTGGAGAGTGGGATCATAGATGGGTATTGTGAACTAAAGAACATCTGAGTCAAACTGAGAGTGATAAGCATACAGCCTATGTAAAGACAAAGTAAATGTTTATTCTACAAAGTATCAAAATATCCTGTGTAATTATATCCCATCCCTCTGTTGAGTTTTCTGTGAAATAAAGAACTGTGCTGTTTGACTTTTACAAGCACTGGTGCCTGACTCTTTGAAAAAGAATTATACTGGGCAGTTGTCCTCAATACATCCCAAAGTTATAAATACAAACCCCGAAGAGACTACTTTTAAGTGTGAACTGGTCAGCCATCAGAAAGCAGAACTGATCAGTCACATCACAGTAAAATAAACTGAACTTTTGTATATATAATATATACAATACAAATAAATATACACATAGGCAGTGATGCCACAGCTTGGTCACGGCCACGGACGGGGAGAGGTCATAGTGTTATAGACCCCTTCTTTAGCTGAGGCAGCTCCAGTTTTGAAACTGGTTCAGCAATCATGTGATTGCGTGTTTGTGTGAAATCATGATCACAGACTTGCTCTCTTCTAATTTGTTCATATAATGGCATAGTCTCTCTTTTTCTTAGTGATGGTTTTACTTGCTGAAAGATTATCTGGGATAACAAATTACAATACTATCTTACAACAACTACTACTGCTACTACAAAATTGTTACTGTAATACCCAGTAGGATGTGATAAACTGTCAGTAGGGTTCCCAAATCCCCCCGGGGGGTGGATTTCCCCCCGCTTTCAAGGCCCGATTCCCGCTCCCGTGGAATTGGGGCCCGGGGAAAACCTCAGCCCCGCGTGCGCGCCACCCGGAAGTGACATCGCATGCTGGGGGTGGGGCCACACCATTTGAGGGGAAAACTCTTTGTTTTCCCCTCAAATGGCGTGGCCCCGCCCAGCGTGTGACGTCACTTCCGGTGACTCTCCGGA